AAGTTGCCAAAATGAACGAGGCAAACCGTCCAAGAAAGCTCTGTTCTGTATAAAGATGTTTCAGGGTGCAGGAATGGGGTCCAGGGTCTAAAGGAAGGAGTTTTCGTTTCCAGTTGGCTGTTGCTTCTGTCTGAGTAACTCTTTTCAACAGAAGAGTGTGCTATTCCCCCGCAGGTTGGAAACTGAGAGAATTTAAATAAAATTTCATCAACCTGATTAAAATACGTGGGGACTTGGGTCTTCTTGGGTACAAATCAGTTTAGAGACTTAGAAGCATTTATTAACAGTGAGGCTGCTGAAGGTTTTTAATAATAAAATTACAAATACTCTATCTAATTGTAAGTATATGACTTTTATACTCCGTTTTAAGAGGAAAAATAGTTTTTTTTTCATCAGGGAAAGTAACTCTGTCAGAGCACCTTCTGTGATTAGCGCTATTGTATTCTTAAATTTTGATTGATAGAGATAATAGTTTTCACTTAAAAATACAGACAGGTACTTTAACTTTCCATGACAATAGCTATTTGCATTTCTTTTATCTTTTTGTTTAACATTTGTGGGGGTTGGGATGGATTTGATTATTAACTCTTATTGCACACTAAAGGTAAATCTAAAACAAAGGCTTTGTTAGAGCTTCAAAGGCAAAACAGCAAATATTGTTTTTGGGTTTCAACATATAAAGGCTGTTAAAGGATACCTATAAAATATTTTCACATGACCATGACCAGGGTTTTACTTTTGTGGAAGGTAAGAGTCGTTTTTTCAAACGAGGCAGCCAATGTGGCATTCCTGGGGGACTGTCAGCCTGGAGTGATTTCACGGGCAAGCCTTGGCTGGGTTGTCCACACTTATATGTAAGGTGCCTTAAGTTTTTCTCTACTAGAACGGACCCCAAAACTAACAATTATGATTTGGTCAGGATCCCAGAGAGTGAGGAGGAAGGAATTAAAGTGTTACTGGCAGAGAAAGGAGGAGGTTTGGGACATGCTGCATCCAAGTTAGTATATTTCTTTGGTAGAGACAAGCAAAAGAAATGCAATACCTGTATTTGGAAACCAGCAGACCTGGGTGGGGTCTAGAGTCCCTTCTTAGGGAGACCCGGGCTGCTCCACGGTTTCTTCTTTCTTTTCTGTTTCCTTTCTTCCCCTTTTATTCTCCACTCTGTTTTAATTTCTCTGTTTTTCCTCTTTTCTTCCCATTTTTCATTTCTTTCTCTCTTTTTTTCTTTTCCTCCTTCCCTCCTTTTTCTCTTTGTAAACCCAATCAGTATTTGAAGTTACAAGAAGCTATGGGGGGAAGAAAAACTTTGGGGATTGATTTCACCGTAAGAGGATTTTCTTGTCTTAAGTGCAGAAAATAAAACGATCCTTGTGTTATAATTTTTCAGCTAGTCAAATATGTGTTGATATCCTTCTGTTTTCTAAGAAATCGTTAAAAAAATATGACATGAAAGCCAAAATGAGTTAAGACTCACGACATACTTAAAGAGGCAGTACTTTCTTGGAAATCGGCCCATTTGGATCTGTTTTTACAAATGAAGTCTATGCCGTGCAGTTGGAGGATTTGGGGGCCTGGAAAATTGGAGCCGTGTTCCTGGACTTTGGAGAACGAAAGGGTCCTCTCTCTGGAGTCCTCCTTGCTGGCCCCCTCCTCTTGGGCCAGAGGTTGGCTTTGCTCATCTTCCTCCCCCTTGTGAAACCCATTCACAGTGGATTCTCAACCAGCATTTGTGGGGCTGAAGTTTGAGGTGTCCGTTTTTCATCCTTCAGTGTCGCTTTCGGGTGCTTCTGTGTTGTGAAATACAACGCAGAAGTCCTGATGGAGATCATTTACGTTAGCCGCCATGAATGAAAAGGGGGAAATACATTTAATGGGAAAAATAGAGTATATGATGTTCATTTTTCAGTCTTGTGAAATGAGATCACACCTCCACACTTACCTGTGACTCACTTCCAAGTAGGACCTGCCAGCTGGCACTTTATATTATACATCACACAGATTGAAAGGGGGCAAAGTGTAACATCAAAGCATTTACAATGTAAGGGTGCCACAGAGTTAACCTCCCAACTTAGGGGGAGGGGCTGTGGAGGTGGAGGTGCAGGAAGGCGCAGGCACACTGAGTTTCTAGCCTTAGGAGTGGCAGCTGGACTGTGGCATCTTGTCATGGTCTGTGTGGTCACCATGTAGCTGCAGGTAAATGGTACTACTGCAATCAGTAGTGAAAAGCCTGTGGAACAAGTCTAGTGTTCACAGGATCTTAACTGTTACAGAGAACGACAGAAAGGAAAATAAGTCATTTCTATATACTGTATCCTTAGCTCACTTTTAAACCTAAAAGCAGTAGGAAAGTGAAAGAAGAAAACGAAAAGCAATTTGTGTGGTGACAGCATTTTTAAAAAGACAAGTGGGCTGGAAGGGAATGTTTTTTTCTTACCCTTTATCTTTTTAAATTTAAAAGCTTTACATAATCATTTAATTTTAGTTCTCGTACTTGTACTACCAGTAAGCATACATGTAAATAGTTGATATATTTGATTAAATATAGTTTTAGAAACGGAAGTTTTACTTTTTGGAAAAAAACAGAATTCAGATTTTTCTCTTAGTTATGGATTTCCGATTCTTCTAAGCTTCTCAGGCCCTTTCAGGTCCCAGCCGTACCCTCTAATTTTCTTGTCTGTTATATTGACACATTTCATTTAATTTAGCATGATGGCAAACAGCTGTTGAACTATTAATCTTTTCTCAGCAAAACTAGAAAAATACCTTTTAGATTACTTTGCTAATAGATACTTTTTCTGAAAACTAAAATCAACAGAAATAAATTAATGAGTGGTCAAATGTACATGCGCATTAAAATTTATGGAATATAGTTTATATCCTGCTGCCAATTTTTTATGTATAAGTGAAAATTAAATACAGTCACTTTTGTATTGCTTTAGCACGCGTGAGTTGGAGGGTCAATTGTATAATTTTATTAACTCTTAGAAAAAAAATTACACTTGTGAAATCTGAGGGTGAGCCAACTTCTAGTTTTGTTCTGTGTTCACTCACTCATTGTACTGTGTAAATAGGCAAGCAGAGAAACAGGACTAGCCCTTGCCTGAAAACGGTCTGCTGGTTCAAATGCAGCACTAGAGATAATTTTACTCAAAGTAGGCATTTTCAGCAGGTTTTTTTTTTTTTTTTTAAATTAAATTTTAATGAGGTCCAGTTGTTTGCCAGGCCTATTTGATAGCAAATCTCATCTGCATTGCAAAGTCAAATACTATAGGTCTGACTGCCAAACGTGGAAAAAATAGACATAGCTCAATAGATAAACACAAATTAGTCTAAAGCACACGCATCAGAAAACATCTCAAGTGAAAAAGGAGAGAGAAAAGGGTCTTCTTGCTTGGAATCGGGTGGGGGCTGCCAGAGCTCACTGGCTTTACATTGAAGATCTGGTGAGTGCCGAATGGTGAAGTTTTTAGTTTTATGCTGTGCGCGGGGGAGTGGGGCTGCCTTGTGGATCTCTGCTTTACCTGAGGACTTGCCCATCCCCGCTGTTTTCCTTTCTTAGTACCACTTACCCTGGAACAGAGTTCTCACCACTACAGAAACCAATCCTGGGCCATACATCAGCAGTAAAGCGCACGATTTTCATTTTCAATTTGAATTGTTTTGTGTAAAAACAAAAAGGTTTTGGGCAGGTTGCAAAAGAGTAATTTTAAGACCCTGAGCTAGGGTTTTCCCCCACCCAAATGATGAACATTTATGGTGAAAACTTCCCATTTCCTCTTACAGTAAACATGAAAATTATGATTTCACTCAGAGTCTGCATCTTTTTCCAATCTTAATGGCAAGAATCTGCTTACACTTGCTTGTGGAAATGTCATAAATTGGCCTCAGATCAATTCCTCAAAGATAGTACACACCCAAGTGCCACTTTAAAATTTTTAGCCCTGGTGAGATTTTATTCTTCTTAAGAATGTTTGCCTTTCTACATCCAAGGCTGATAGCAGAGGGATGAGCAGGGATATATTCATATAAAATTAAAACCACTTAATTACATATTGTTCTGAAGAGCGAGCAAGAGGATATTAACATTTTAGTAAAATCATGCTATGATTTCATCATCTTAAAAAATTACATGAGCATTTGGTCAATGGGTGTGGAACGAATCCTGTACCCAGTTAGTAACTTGATCTAAATTAATAAACAAATGTTTTTCTTTTCGCTTGTGCCATATGTTGATCCCAGTTCCATGGGCAGAAAGAGGCAGCTTGTGATGTTTCTTAAAGGATTACACACTATTTTGCATAAGGGAGTCTGCAGATGCAGGAGTACATGTGGGGTAGAATGTGTTGCATGCTTTCTTTGTGTTTTAGGGAGCTTGGTTTCAAGTGTTTATTTCATCTGACACGAACCATTTTTATTTAACTTACTAGATCTGGTAGATACATGCTAAGTGAAAAACATTCCGTGAGCAGCTTTCACCGGCAGTGCTCCATCCCCTCCCCTCCCCAAAGTGAAAATTGTGGTGCTTTTATTCATTTTGAAAGGTCCACAGTGCCATAAAGCATCTTGTCTATAAGAACGGACTCTCATGAAGAGGAAAAAAAAAAAATAAGCTTCTGCTTTAATTAAATTAGAGATGTTGTAAATATGGACCAAACAGAGACATGTTCTAGTAGCAGCCTAGTTTCCAAAAACAAAGACCTATGAGTTTCATTATTCTGTATAAAAAATAAATTGACAAGACAAAAAAGTGAGAGAAATTTCATACCTGAAGTTTGAAATGTTTTACTTTGACTTTTTCTATTTAAATTGATTATGTTGTCTTGAAGAGCTCAAAGACCTGAGGTCCAGATACATGGAGATCCTGTGCTTATTTTTATGAACTCTGAAAGTTATTTGCCCATAAGTAGAGATCCTTTATTATTTTGCCTGTGTAAATCCCTAGCAGAGGTGGTGGCTCCTTCTCTTGACACTCAGATTTTGATGTTCTCTTTTGCTTTCAGGCTGAGAAGTGACCTTTTGAGGTGACTATAACTGAAGATTGCTTTACAGAAGCCAAAAAAGGTAAACACAAACGTGAACAGTGAAATCCTATCTAGAACAGTATCTGTCACCTTCAACAGTATTTTAATGTGTTTGTTTTCTGATCTGTATTTATCAAAGGTATATGTATTTATTTGTGTGTAAGTATGTTGGGAGCATATTTTCAGACACTCTTAAGAACTAGTCATCCTCAGCACGCCCCCCAAAATACCACCCAACTTTCCTGTTTATTGAAGCTGAACCTTATTTTTTGCTCGTCATTTTGGTAGGTTTAAAGTTGGAAAAGAATATTCACATCACAAAAGTGGTGATTCATAAAATTAACTTGCTCCTGGCAAGAGTAACGCATGTCAGTGTTCTGTGCTGAAGTGGTGTCTTCCAGTTGATGTTCATCTGGCGGCTTTATAATCACCTTCCTTCAGAAATTAATAGTCAGGCGCCATAGCAACACGCCACACTGATGCGACTGCTGAGCAGCGTGGGGCGCATCCCTGTACTTGTCAGCGCCAGACTGCCTTGTTCTCTTGACCTTGCTTGAAAATCAAATGAGTACTTGATTTTAATATTAGAAGTTCTCAGAGAGACTAACGTAACCTGATGAATTAAACCTAAATTTAATTGTCTCAAATGTACTTTTTCAGGGGGAGACTTAAAAGCACTTGGATTAAAATGGTTATAGATGCTACCTGTTTACTTGGTTTCAAAAAGTATCTCTTTCATAAGGGCAGTGATCATCTCACGCAAGCTAATCTTGCAGGCTGTTTTAACTTTGGTGTTTCTCAAGTAGTAGCATCTTCATTTGATTTTTGAATGTACTGGTAAGATGCAGACTTCTTGCTCTTTAGTGGAATAGGTTTTTTGTAGGACTTTTGTAATGTGACAGTTGTTTGTCAGTTTTTAATCTCACCTAGGTTTTCTCTTGTTGTTCTAGAGTGCATTATAGATTATATAGATTATATATATTTGTTTTACATTCTGGGACATTTTTATTTGGGCCAAAAAACTCAGATTTGCTTCATTTCATGTTGTTTAAATTAAACCTTTGCAAGAAGTACCTGATTGTCTTCTAAGTAGGAGAGATAGCTACTTCAGGTATTTCAGTATAGAAAAGATTAGTCCCAGCTAGTACTTCAGGTTATATCAGGCCATAGCAAACCTTAGGGCAAAGTACTTCCCTTTGCTGCGACTCAGCTTTTCAATCTTAGTCTGTAAACTTTTCAGCCAATGTGTTTAGTAAGTGTTTCCCACTTTGGGGGCCATTTGGCCCCTCTCACAGCCACTGGTTGGCTGTCTCTGGTCTCTGTGATCTCTTAGTGTGATCCTAGTCCAAGATAATCTTCACATGAAGTCCTGACAAGTATTTAACTCATCTTAGGCTATTAGCAGACTTGCTGGTGAAGCTAAAAATTGCGATTTAACAAAGCTGGAAAAATGGTTGGAAAAATGAAAAGTGTAGCTCAAGAGTAACCTTACCTGAATGGCTCCACATCAGAGCTTCATTGATAGGTTTTCATTGCAATCCCCTGGGAGCTTGAGTTATTTTTCTTCTGCCTCATTATCTTTATGTCACTGCTTAAACTCATTTCCTAGAAATGAAAATGTGATTTTTTTCTCAGTTCTACGGTGTTGTTCAAACTTAAGTATATCATGAGTCAAAGGAAAATTTTGGGGGGTGAAGAAGCCTGTAGGAATTTGTTATTAGCATTGATGGAGAGATGAACTAGTTTTTAAATTTTCTTTGTAATCATTCTCAAGTGTATGCTCTAATATATCTTTTACTGTCCTGTAAATAAACTTTCCTCCCATAAACATCCTGGATCCTAAAAAGTATTTATTCTTCTGATGCCTCCTTTCATGACACAAAGTTGAAGGAGAAACCCATATAGTTTTTCTCTTTGACTTGACTACGAAGGACCTCAGGACAAAAGTAGGAGTGATGTAGTTTTTCTCAGTTTCTGCTTTTGTTGTTTTATTTATTTTTATTCTTTATACATAATCTTTACTTTTTTTTTTACCACCAGTGAACATTTTATTGCTTAACTTTTTTTTCATGATTCCTTCCATGTTTTGACCAAGATTCCAAGATTTTGAAAAAATAGTGATATGTAGATCTTAATAAGAAAACATTTTATGTAAGTTTAACCTTCAAACTCCAGAATCATTCAGAGACAATTCCTGTATACCTTATATATCCTACCTCTTGTATACAAGAGAAAAGATTTTCTTAGAAATATAAAATGATAAAAGATGTATTAAATGAACGTTGTAGTTAGTATTTCTTCCTGCCAATCCTTAAACCAGTGATGGACAGAAAATAGCCCGCCTTTTACACTACAAGAAAAATGGTTAGGTATCAGGTGCTGAGGGCTTCTTCATAAATACCACACCCCAGATTTGCAGTCTAGAAGTCATTAACAGTCAGTATGGATGCAAATAAATATGCCAAATAAACACCATGGGAAGAACTGGTTATATGCATTAAAGTGGCCAGCAAATGTAGAAAACCAGATAAAGCTATTTTTAAAATTTAGATTCAAAGGCTTGAAAAATCATAAATAACAGTCATCATAGTTGATAGTGATATAACAATTTTCTTCCAAGTAGATCAGAGCACTTTACAAAATGGGTCTGGTTGCTGGCATTCCAGAAAGGTAGCTGGCAATTATTAGAATCCCTGCTTTACAAACAGAGAAAGCTGTAACTTAGCTGGGGTCATCGAGAATGTCACGATAGAAACCAAAAAGAGAACTTCTAGTCCTGAGTATTTTGACCTGATTCTCTCCTGGCTGTTGCGGCTTGATGATTTCTTAAAGTTTTACGTGGCTTTTTCTCCCTGCTCTCCCTCCCCATTTCACCCCTGACAGTTCACTCCCACATTTGCTTAAAATTCAAACCCAACTTGTAAAACTTACCATTTTATATTGAGTTCTGAATGGCAATGAGAGATAAAGTTCTATGATTACAGGTAAATGTTATTTTTAAACACCAGGCATCTTGAACTGAAGCTTCACATTTAACATATTGTTTTTTTCTAATGGTCAACTTATTTGCGAGGGAGTTAAACAATCTAAAAGGCTGTTTACTTACTGCCATTTTTCTTCCAACCCCAGTTTGAGCTGTTTCATGGGTATGGGAAGGTCCTATGATACACATAAACATTTCATTCATTATGGGTTACATATGACAGTTTACTTCTTGATTAAAAATAAAACTAAAATAGTATTCAGGTGTTTGAAATAAAATGCTTCCTTTCAAAGTATATATTTGCATGATTGAACTGTTTATTTAATGATGGTAACAATTTTAAGTTAACCCCATTCAAAATGATCGTTTTTTAAAAATAGCCTTCAGCATTTGAATTATCTATGAATTCATGAAGTTGTTTGATGATGCTTTGTGGGAAGGTCTTCACTGAGTTGTCAGGTCACCATATTGGCAGGAAGGGGCAGATCAGCCAACTCTTTTAAGCGTTCAAATGCTCTTGTCTGCAAAACAAACAACACCCTCATCTGAATTAAAACAATTGGGATAGAGACTAGGCTGATGTAACAGAGAGGCCCCAACATGCAATAACTTCAATAAAGTAGCAATTTGTTTTTCTCATAGAGGAGTCTGGCCAGTCTAGTTTGGCCGGACAGGTTCTTTGCCCTTGTGTTCTCTACCCTTGGGGCTCTGTCCTTATCCACCTGGGTGAAGCTGGGTCATTACTGTGCCATGGAGAAGTCCAAACCAAGTCATTTTCTTTTAAATTGTATACATCATACTTCTTGTGACTTAATTGGTGACCTTAGGGTTATATGGCTTCAGTAAGCGTCAGAGGCTGTTGGGAAACTTGGATGGCCAGGAACCTAAGACAAATTGGAGAATTCAATTAGAACACAGTTTAATTAGGACACAACTTCTTGATTAGCTGAGATGCTCCAATCCGATAATCTCATTCGTGCTTTTATCCCTATAGTTTACATTTATTTATTTTTTGTTTGTTTGTTTGATTTCATTTTTCTCTGGTACCGGGAACCGAACTCACGACCTTACGCTTGCCAGGCAGGCGCTTTGCCGCTGAGCTAAATCCCCAGCCCTTACAGTTTACGTTTATACACATCAGTTCTCACCACAGTCGTTTACTGGTGGTTCTGTGCTAGGTGCTAAGGTCATAACCACTGTGCAAGAAGGACATAGTCTCCATCCTCACAGTTTATGTTATAGAAGGGAAGATGTACAGGAGTGATGGTATTAGGACGGTGAAATGTTGCTATGACAATGGGTTCTATAAGGGCAAAAGAGGTTTCCAGGGTTGTAACTTCACAGTTACACAGAAGCTATCTGTGATCAGTTTGATTTTCTTGTACCTTTCCGAGCAATTCTGATGTGAATATTACTGAGCGTGGTGATTTTTTGTTAACAACTTTATGGAGATTTTAATTTATATACAGTATAATTCACCAATTTAAAAAAATACCATTCACTGGGTTTTAGTACATTCACTGAGTTTGCAACTACTTTGACTAGTTTTAGAAGGACTCCTCACCCACGAAAAAAGAAACCCTCCTATTAATTAGTAGTCATCTACCACTCTTCCCTCCGCTCAGCCTCTTGGCAATAACTAATTACTTTCTCTCCACATAGATCGTTCTACTCTGAATCTTTCATATAAGTGCAATCCTGCACTAGGTGGCCTTTTCGACTGGCTTCTTTCACTTAGCATCATGCTTTCAAGCTTCACTCGAGACATGTAAAAGTCTAACTTGCTTAAATTTTATAAGTTCTTACTCCTAAATCCAGTAGGGTAGTGGCATACTGTATCCTAAGAAGGGACAGAATTCAGGAAAGAAATTATATTTTTTTGTGCCGTGGGTATTTCCACAGAATTGATGTGGCCTCTCAACAGTTAAACTTCCGAATTTAAATGTTTGCATTTTAAGTTAGCTGTTTTTAAACATTGTTAGCCATAATGCTAAACGAAGTTACTCTGTAAACAAGAGCTGTCTCTTTTTGAATGTTAGTTTGAAAGAAAAAAAATT